GTGCGGGAGATTCCCTTTGTTGTACTACCTGGAAGGTGACAGTGAGGTAATAATGTTTTCCCTGCTTATGAATAATTTGGTTTTTTGTATGTGAGAGCAGGATGAAACAGGGAATGCAATTATTCAAAGTGTAAAACTTAATTCCCAGAGAAAATTAATGAGGCATAGTGGCTGCTTTTGAAAATTTGACCCAAGGAAAAAGGAACCATCAGCAACGAATCTTATAGTACTTCTTACCTTCTTATCAAAGGTAGACAAACCTGTAGGATTGGGACTTTTTTTGTTGTCTGTTTTTGTTTTTTTGTTTCTCTGAATCAGAGGGAATGAGGAAGATGGCATCTCACTGTTTTGCAGCTACATTTTGGTAATTCACTCTGAAACAAAGTGGAAAATCAGACTTTTTTATGATGAGAAGCACTGGGGTTGTAAAGTTGAAGCTTTCTGCTTAGTCATCTGCACTTTTTTTTTTTTTTTTTAAGAATAAAGGTGAAAGCAGTTGTTCAAATAATGAAAACCAGATAAAGTCATGGAAGCAAGACAAAAAGGCAACTCTTGTAATTAGGCTGAAGTATTTCTCTAGCCCTTCTCTTTCCAACAAAGCTAACGCTGAGGGCTTGGCTTGTACCAGTCCTGCCTTGGGCTCTGTGCTGGCACATACATATGTTTGGGAAGATTTAGTGTTTGAGCTTGTATTTGGCCGCTACCCAGATCAGTAAAAATTGAGATCATCACATCGGGTTGTTTCAGGGAGAATCATTTCTAGATTTGCTTCTCCCCTTGTGAAAAAACTTTTAAGTATCTTATCTTTCCCAGTGTAGGATCAGAGAAGTTTTTCCTAAGGGCAGGAGTTTGTTGTGGAGTAACCACACCACCATGGTGGTTACCTGTTTCAACCTTTCAAAAGATAATCCATCAGGCTGCTTTCTGGTTCTCAGCACGATCAGCACCCAGAGGGCCTTGCTGACTCAGTCTCCACACTGGTTCTGCTTTGGTGTTGCATTTACTCCTATCTTTGAGTGCTGTGCTGGAAAGCCCTGGGATTGCTCACTGTATTGATCTTCAGGTCATGCTTGATGGTCTTGAGCTGGGGACTGGCATCACTGCCTTCAGAACTTCATTGTAAAAGAAAGTGTGATTTGTAAATTATCCCGGCACCTTCACCAAAAAATTGAAACTTTGAAATGTTTAATTTGGCATTTCTATCTTGAGAATGATGGAAAATGGTTTTCTTTTTTATTCATAAACATCACTAAAGAGAAAAGTCTCTGTTCTTGGCAGAGGTTTGTGGGCCAACTCTAAGGGCAAAATACTGCTTTTTGAGTAGGGGATTCTAATGGAAAAGCTGAGCATCAAATTCACACAAGGTTCTTCTTAATTATAGAAGCCAAAAGCTCTTCCAGATGTCTGTCAGCCCAGCTTGCTAGATGCTGCCATCACTGGTTTTAATAAAAGCTCATATTCAGCAAATTTACTACTGATTTACTGTATATTACTTTAGCCAGAAAATGTTTTTGCTCTAAAAAGCAAACAAAGACCTGATATTTTCATCAGCTGTGCTCCAGCATGTCATTTATTACGCTGAATCCTATCCAGGATCCATTACTTTATTAAAGATTTTCAGTTGATTGCCATCATTAAAACCGGAATTTCGGGAACTCCTGTGTAGAAGTACGTAAGCAAGAAATACATATCAACAAATCGGTAATGGTGCATGCAGAACAGGCAAAGCCACTCACAGAGCAAACACGTACATGACATGCACAGCCAGACAGGATTTTCTGTGGAGAGCTACCCGTTTGTACATGCAGTTAATGCGTGCTCTAAAGAAAAATGGGAGCTGAGAGGGGGGAAAAGAGAAAGAAAGGAAAATGTTAAAAAAACAAATGAGCCTTTGCGTTCAAAAGTGAACAGAACAAAACCGAGAGAGTAGCTAATGAAATCTCTGAACAATGATGTAATTAAAGTGCATTAATCATTATAAAATATCATTTCCCTTTTAACATCTGCTTCCATTCACTTGGCAACAGTCTGGTCAGTGTCATGAATGATGGGGTTTGAGATTGTGTTGAAGGGCACGTGTTATCTGAGAAACAATGTAGAAACATCCCTCGCTTGACAGGATTTGGGATGGCAGTGCTTTTCCTCCTGTCAGGTAACAGTGTTAAGGAAATAAAGAAAAAATTAGACATTGTTTACAGTGGAAAAGAAAACCCAATATAAAATGTAACCCTGCTTTTTCAGCAGTGCAAGCAAAAATTTAATTTTGGTGCCAAAGGATTTGAAGAAAGTAATTTCCCCGTGAAAACGGAATTTTAGGAACCGTAGTTGCTTGGAGGAGCAAGCAGCTCGTTCCTGCCTCTAGAGAAATGAGGACCACCACATCCTTCCTGACTCTTTTCTCTCTTGCAGCCTGGCTGTGCAGTCAAAAGAGAGAGATTAACCATTTTAGGAGAAAATCTCCTTTTCCTCTGGCATAGGCAAAGTGTGCAGAAGGGCTGCAGCCATTTCTTATTGCCTGTCAGCCTGGCTTGAGGCTACCTGCAGATCGGACTCACATGTGCTTCAGTGAAGTCCCTGCCTGCACTTGTTCCACTGCTGTTAGGACTGAGTAGAATTTCTGACGGGCTGTGTTTTGTTTAGGATTAGGTGAGGGGAGTCCTGAATTCCTGCTTTAGCTCTGCTATTAGGCTGCGTCTTAGGATGGTATTTTTAAAGCTGGGGACTGTTTTTGTGTCCTTGTTCAAATCTAAAGTCTCATTGCATTTTCATACATTTGGTAACATGGACAGTGATTGCAGGTGTCCCCTTTGCACCTGCATTCATACTTCTGTCTTACTTAATCTTAGTGTCTGCATCTGCAAAGCTTACAGGACATATCTGAAGGTGAAGCACTTTGAAGTCCTCTGGCAACAAAGATCCACCAAAGCACCACTGTTTTTAAGCTAATATAGGGGACAGCAATTAAGGAGTAGAGATCCTGAGTACTGCATTCCTACCCAGTTTCATTCACCACTGACTTCAGATCTCCTTCATGGCATGTAATCAGGCAGCCCTGAACAACCTCTGGATTTGATGCTGCACTAATGGCAAAAATGCATATGCCCACATGGGCTTCTAAGGGAGGTAGACAGAGAGAGTCCAGACTCTGTTTGGAGAAAGGCAGGGGCTGTGCACATTGTTCATGGCTATGCCACTGTGTTCTCCTTTTCTGGCAATTCTGCAAATTCCCAACAGATGGATGTGTGTTTTTCCAGGCAGTGTCTTCCCAGCTCTTAGGTGGAAAAGTGAAAATGAATTCAGCTTTGGTCCTTGCTGTTCAATTACAGATGAAACGTTTCACCTCATTTGTGCCTATTGATAACAATACTTACCCTTCGTCACAGAAACCTGTAGTCTTTATAAAAGTGATTGGAGAAATTCAGATAAAATGATGCAATTTGTTCTGTTTCTTAAAGGTGGTAGTTAGTCATAGGTGAGTATTAAAAGAGAAAAACTAAGACAAATGTCCTTGCTTCTCACAGAGCTGCCTAGATCAGTACTGCATAAGCCTAATGTCAGGAATTCAGATTTCTATGCTGCTGTCCTTAATGCAATGACGCCTCGGGTGTGCTGTGCAGTATATGCTGTGTATTGCTTCTGGGCTGTTGCTGTGCCACCTGCTGCCTTTAGGGACCAGCTCAGCGATGCCCCTGCCTGAGGACCAGGTGTGCAGCTCCTTGTGCAGGCATGTCCGGCGCTGACAGAAAGGGCAGTCCATGCAGGCTGCTGCCAGGCACCTCACGTTTCTCACCTCCATATCCTCTCTCTTCCATTACCCCCCCCATTTACTACTCCAATAGCACAGTTCTGCTTCTGGGGACCTGTTTGATGTGGCTCTGAAATGTGAAAAGAACATTGCACTTTCAAACCCTTTTCTTTTCGTCATTTGTTTAGGACTTGACCAAAAAGCTGTGCTGGTATTCTGGTGTAGTCTTAGAAAATTCAGATAAGTTTCTATAGCATAGTGTGTGGGGCTGTTTGCTTTTGTTTGTTTTTTAGAAAAAAGAAAGAAAACTAGCAATTGTAGCTTTAGATTTCCTTTGGTTGGTGAATCTTTATAGTTTTATCTGCAGTCACTGGCTGCTTAGGGAACAGGGGTACAACAGTGTGGGAGTAAATATGCTTAGGAAAGCTGCCTTGCTTAAACACTGTCTTCAGGTATCTGACAGAGCTCACAGTTTCCTTACTGTGCTCACGTAGATGTCTTTACCCAACCTTGCAAACATATGCATAGACATCTTAATGACTGGTCTTGGTGCCCATCTAAAACATTAAACACTTGAAGGGGAACAAGCAGCTCTATTTTAAGCAGGTTCCTTTGAAGCCCCTTTCTGAAAAGCCAGGCAGATGGAGTTGGGCATGTTTATTGAAAGTTGAGGTATTTGTACGAATAGACATATTCATGTTGTGTGTAAGATATGAAATAACAATTTATTCACTCTTTTTTCTGAACTGTTTGTGTGATGTGTGGAGTGTAGGCCTTCATTGCCTAAACACAATCATTTCCAGTAGGTACCAGGATTAGCCCAAACACCTGAACCTCTCCTGTCACCAGTACTAACCTTCTTAGTATTTCGTAAGAATACACAGCGCTGCTTACTGCCCTCAGCTTCTTTTTCAGCTCTTAGTGTGTTCTGGAGGCTCACTGGACGCTGGTGTATAAATCCTTGTGCTGGTAGCGTGGAAGAGATAAGGAAGTTTAATTTTTGGGTGGCAAAATCCAGGAAGAAAGGGAAAGCATTAATCAGGGGGGTGTAATCTCCAAGGAAACAAGTACCTCATTTCAATTCAGCATTTACCTTTGATGAAAACTTTACTGAATGTTATTATGTGGAATTTATATGAAGCCTGGGTTTAGGTAACCAACTTTAATATTTATACTCTTAGGGAAAAAAACCTGAATCATTAGTAAGCATGCATAATTAATGAATAAATTATATTTTTCCTTTGTTTTCCTTTAGGTATAAGGAAATGCTAGATCTAGTGATATCACCCAGCCTGACTGTAAATAGAGAGTGCCCTGACAGACTGAAGCTTAACCTTACTAACATTTATGCCACGGCTCCAGATGACATAGAAGGTAGGCTACTTCTTTTGTTTACTGCTTATTTGCTTTGGCATTATGTGTATGTATATAAAATAAGGGAGATGGCCACACACAGGGCTTCTGCTTCTAACAGTTAGTTCTACTGCATAGTGAGCAATTGGGGTTTTTGTTTGAGAATATTTGTAGTCACTCCAGTTGTGGCTGAACCCTTCAAAAATAATTTGAATGCAAACAGAGTTGAAATGTTTTACATAAATAGAGATCTGTGTATTGTGGGTGTAAACATATGCACACACTTGTAGATCTGTTCACTGGAATAAGTGCAAGTATAAAACGTGCTTTGTGTAGGGCTGGTACTTTTGATTTAGATCCTACTAGAGCCCCAGCCCCAGGGGTGGCTGTACTACTGCTTGTGGAGTGTGGCTCACAGGGGCTCCCAGGCCCAACAGCACACTGTGTAGCCAAAAAATATTTTGCCAAAGCAGCCCTGTGCCCCAGTTTGTATCACTCTGAGATCATTGCTGTCATCTCCAAATGGTTTGTCCTGCTGATGTCTGGTCTGAAGTTTCACATTTGGCAGGTACCAAGGATAAATTCTGTCAGTGGTTGAAGCTCTGATGGAAATCTGTCTGTCCTTCTCCTCTTCCTCCTCTTCCTTCCCCCCATCATACTGTTTAAGAGAAGGAAACAGAAGAATGTTAAATCTGCTAAAAAAATTATTGGCAAGTGATGCAGCTGAACTAGTTCTTGCTAGTACAATCCCAGCTATTGTTTGCTGCGGTCAGAATCTGTCAGCCTTCCTGTTGGAGGGGAGTTAGCAAAAGGCACTGACTATTATGTAGTGGTAGTATGTTTAACCCTTAATTTATAGACTCTTAAAAGCCAAGGAGAAGTTTTGCTTGACTGTATGCTAAGGCATTAGAAATCGTGTGATTAAAACACAAACATCAGGATTACCTATTTACAGGAGCAGTCAAAGGGATAACAATCTAAAGGAAACATCCTTTTAAACATATGTGTTTGCAGAAAAGATTAGTGCTAGAAATGATTTTAAAATACATCATTTTGTAAACGCCTTGGTGCAGGAACTGTTTTTTATATTGTGCAATATAAATATAAGCCAACAGAGCACCTGTACCACAAAACGCCAATATGCCAGTGACAGCTCATGTTGATAAGTTTCTTACAAAAATATTACTTTTGATTTTTGTTTTACAGGTTTATCCCTTGTTATGCCATAATTATGTTCCTTTAATTGAAAATACCTCTTGTTAATTTGGTGAACAGGAAAATACTTGTGTTTTTGTCAGTCCGTACTGCCTGAGCTCTTAGTGCAATGAATGCAGATGAATATATGCACCATATTACACATAGTTTTAATTTTAGCAACTGTAGTTGCAGTGCCAGATGTGTACTTCATCGTGTCAATGGATCTTATGAAATCTGCAACTATATCTCTATAACTTTCAAATACACATTCTGCCTGTAGCTCTACACATTTGGGTAGGAGCAAACAGCTTTAACCTGTACTTTTGACAGTGAGAGTGCAGCATACTGCATACTCATACTCAGTGAATCCCTGTTTGCTATTTATTCTGTGTTTACCAGTTTCAAAACTAAAAGAAAAAGTAATCTGAAATACAGTATTTTTTAAGTAGAAAAGCCATTAAACTTGTGCTCTAACTGCCCTTCTGTTTTTCAAATATGGAATGAATTAAAATGTTAATACATGTATGTATTTCTCTAATACAATTCTGTTGGGTAATAAGGGACAGATTGATAGAAATTGTATAGTTTTTGTTTTAAGAATCTAAAAATCTAGTTGCCTAAACAATTTTCTTTCAGGTAAGTCAAAGCAATCTTTTCATTGCGAGTATCAAGGTGAGTCAGGTAATCTTGTCTTTGGGTTTAAAAGCAGTCTTTTTTTCTATACCTGCTATTCCTGTACCTGTATATGTGTTTGTATATGTATATGCATTTATATAACACGGTCCTTTGCTTTACTCTATATATATATATATATATTTTATATATAAAATATCTGCCTCTTGCTGTGGAAATAGGTTTGTATTAGCCACATTCTAAAGAAACAAGGGCAGGGGTGCTGCTGGGCTTTAGTTTTGTCAGGTTTTTCTGGAATGTAAGAGCACAGAGAATTCTTTATGGCTTTGTTCCAGTCACTGCCCACAGAGTGAGGTGGGGTGGTAGGGTTCACAGTTCTTGCCCTTGCAGCTGATGTGCCTGAGCTTCCTCTGTGAATGGATTGGTGTGCAGAGCAGGTAGTGCAGAGGGCCTTGGAAGAAGACCCAAGGGGACTGTGGATGTGATCCTTATCATTCTGTAGGGTTTTGGGGATCAGCCTGAGGGAGAGCTCTTGCGGAACTGGGGAACAGCTTGGGAGAAGTGGGATCAGAAAAGCCAGGCTTGAATTTGTTGTGCAGATGGGTACAATAAGAAGGGTATGGCACAGAATAGTACTTCAGGGAAGTGAGAGCAAAGAGGGGGTGATAAAAGTGTATTTTATCACAGTGGCTGTATTGGGATGAGTTTTTGTTTTTAATACCCACCAAGGAGAAGAGGGTGAAGCAGGCATCCAGCATGGTTCTAGGAAAGACATTACAGTTCAGCACAATGGCTTGTGAACAGATGAGGTCTGTTTGCAGCACAGATAGATGTACTCGAGTTACATTTTTCCCTTAGCAGCAGCAGAGTGTAGTCATTCCCAGCTCACTCTGAAATGTATTCCCCTGGTCATCAGTGCCTTTATTGCCAAAGCCATTTTTCCTAAAGTAACTCAGTGCTGCATAACATTTCTGATCTGTTCTAACCGAAAGTGTAGTTATTAAACACTACAGTTATCCCAGAGAAGAGAGAAAGGAGTACATGATATTCTTTTAAATTTTGTTAATTAGCTCTGAAGATAGCTAGGTTCATGGCAAAAGGGTCTCCTTTTTGAAGGAAGTGTGTGTTCTAGGTATTTTAATCTTTTAAGGAAACACAATTGTTTCTTATAAAATGCAGCTCTTTTTTCACTATTATTATTAGATACAGGAGACAATATACAAATTAACATTCTAAAAAAAATTATTGTAATTCGTTTGTTGTTGCTGTTAAGACTCATGTACCTCCATAGGGGTTTTTTCGTTTATTTGCTCTCATAAGTCAGCAAGGATGAAAACAGACTTTTAATACAAATTACTTTTTGAAAAAATATATCAGATTGAGTACCTCTCTTAAAAAATATATTAGTGGTATTGTTGTGTTATGATGTAGAATGATAAAGCCATGCAAAATATTGTGAAAAAAGAGTTGTTGAAGAAAGAACATTTATAAAAGAGTGTTAAAACGGAAGGAATGAATATTTCATGTTCAAGCAGTCAAATCATTTTGGAAATTCTCTGCAGATTTATGGCATAACAAGTTACTCAGACCCATAGGACTATTTGCATTTATTTAGACCTTACATATATTTGCATATTTCATTAAATAAACCACACTTTAAATGTTTAATTTGCCAACTTACAAACTGCTGAACAAACGAAGTGATTCTGTTTTGAAAACTTTGAACTGAGGATGATGCATCTGTAGCATGGTGGCTGTGTCCATGACGATGCATGGGACAGCACTGTGGATGTTTCCTGCCTGGTGATGGCAATGTGCAGCACTGGGGACGCTGCAGGACTCTGCCTTTCCACTCAGCCTGTGCTCCTGTGGTGGAGAGATCTGCCCAACGCTGGGTATTATTTCCTATCGCATGTAACAAATTGCATGATAAATGTGGAGGGTGGTGGTGCTACAGTCAGCAGAGAATGGGATGGTTGATGTTCTTCTCCCTGGAGAAACTGCATGCAATTAGTCTGATATGCTGATTGATACAGACAGCAGACAGAGAGGCTGGGTGTGCAGTGCCTAATATCATTATTAATAATTATGAAGGTGTGTTGGCATTTATACTGCTGTAATAACACTGACTCCAACCAGGGCCAGAGAATCACAAATTGAACGGCATAATGATGGCAATCTGCGTAATACTTATGGTGGCATTTAAATGCAGTCTTTTCAGTACAATTTGCAGGGAACTTACAGGTTTTAATTTAGATTATTTTAATGAAATTAAGCATAAATATTTCTCCAGATAAAAAGGGGGCACTTTTTTTTTTGCTGGTGTTGCAGGACTGTTTGATACGTTGGCAAGCATCTTGCACATTTTACTTGTTTGATGTATTTTCTACTGGTTTCATTTACTGTTTTTGATTATTGCTAAATCAGTAAGGTAGATTATAGTTAATGCAAAAAATCAGGGCTGATAATTAAAAGTGATAAACTTCTTTATTTTGTTTGTCTTTGCATGTTTTAGCATTTTATTATTTTAAAGAAAGTGAGTCACAGTTTAGGACAGTGTCAAAAAAAGTCAAATCAATGTAGTTATCACTGTAGTTGCCTTTATAGCTTTTAATGTATGATTCATCCTACCAAAGCCCAACTTCATGATTCACATCAGTTGTATGAGAAGAAGAAAATAGCAACTCAGTAAATCAGTAGTACCATCAGTTAAATAAAATTGTATTTATTTGTTGTTAAGTATATAATAGCTTTATCTTCTTCATCTCTTTGGAGATTCACTCCAGAACAGTATCTCCTAAATTACTCCTAATTGTTTTTCTCAAACCAGCAATTGTAAAAACAGTGGTATCATCTTGGCTGTAGAAATGAACATGATGAAACTCTAAGACCCTTTAATTTTGTTTTCCAGGCAACAGCAAAGCAGCACCACAGTGTCCTCTCCATCTCTACTCAACAAAGTGAGTGTTCCTGCCAAGTGCTGTCATTTAAAAACCATATTTTGCAAAACAGACATTTTGTGTGGACTTCTGTCACCTTAAAAAGCATTTGTCTTAAGCCTATCCACCTGTTCCTCTGTATGTCTCAGGCCCAGTGAAGAAATAGTCCCTAATCTTGCTAAATATGGAATGAAAGTTTCGAGGTACCATGTGCTGTATGTTTGCACCCGTGGGAATCCAAACATTATCACTTTGAATGCTGCTTTGTTTATTAGTGATCAAGAGGAATACATAAAAATGTCAGAGGTTTCTCATGATGTGTTGTTTGGCAAACTCAAAATGAAACACAATAATCAGAGTATTGAGGTTTTTTTAACCTGCACGTATTTTGCACTGCCCTAAATTTCCTATGCATGTAGGCACCTTAATCTTAATAATTTATATCAGGAGCTATACACTAAAAGAAACTTTTGCCCCAGCCTAGTAAATTCTGAGCTCTCAAAATACTCACCATCATAGTTGGATGGTGCTTTATCAAAATATCCAGAAATGTTTTCCATGTGCTCTAGAAGATTGTGCAGTAACTTTTGTCTTAGACCTTCTGTTTTCTTGTTCTCAATAGACATTATCCCCATATAGTGACAGTCCAGTCTTTCCCAACAATGGCAACATATGGACAGACTCAGTACAGTGCAGGAATCCAACAGGCTGCTGCATACACTTCCTACCCTCCTCCAGCGCAGCCCTATGGCATACCTTCCTACAGTAAGTACCCTGATGTCATGTTACCTTTGAGTGTGTCTTCTTCCTTTTGCTCCTAGAAAAACTTATTTGAAGACTTAAGGTTTAGAATGAAAAGTTATTTCTATACTGGGAGTGTTCACTTCTTAGTCTTGAAGGAGAAGCTGTTAAAAATGGTAGGATTACTTTGAGCTGTCAACTCCTTATATCCTGGGATACGGTCTTACAAACTACTTAAGGTTGAAGATGGTGAGTAATTGGATAGGAAACAGTATGAAAAACTCAGGTTCAGTAGGATGTTCCACTTATGAGCAGGAACTGTGACAGTTGCCATGACTCAGTACAATGCGGTGAATATGCTACTTAGGTAAAGTTCGTTTTGCCTTCTTTGATTTCTCCTGGGGTTTCCATAATAAAAGCTACTTTAAGAAAAAAATTCTGTATGCTATTACAGAAAATCTGGGACACAAAGCAAAGTAGGGCATTGGTGAAAAGCTACAGAGTACTTTGGTTTTGGAAGACTGTTTGTGTATAAATGAATGGTTGTTAGCAATAAGTGCCATGAGAATTTCTAACCCTGGTCAACTTCTGTTCCCTACACCAGCCTCACAAGCAGCTGTGGGGAGATGGTGCTGGGCTGGGAGCAGCTGGAAGATTCGGGCAGAGAACTAAAAACCAGTACCCCTAATGGTGGAAAGCCTGGCAAACCAAGTGTTAAATGTCTTCAAGCTGTACATGGAAATAGCATGCTGTGGAGGCAATTAGGAAGTTCTTTCCACTCCTGAAGACCAAAGGGATACTGCTCTTGCTTAGAAAGTTTTGAGGCTCCTTATTCCGAGCTGATCTCATGAGTGCTGAGTATTGCAGCTTCATAGTTCTGTTTCTGCTGCTGGTTTCTCTCACACTCTTAAACACCTTCATTTGCTTGGCAAACGCAGTATCCTTTCCCAACAAGATTTTATACAGCCTTTGATAACACTTTTCCTGAAGGGAAATTCAATGCAATAGTCTGGAAGGTCAGGGAAATGGTCTTGGCAGAGATGAAGGTCTACCAGGATGATGAGAGGAATGTTTTGAGACCCTTTCCTGGAGCTACTTGTGTGTTTGCATCAGCTGGCTGATTTCCAAGACAAACTCTGAACAGTTGTCCTGTTAGAGCAGGTGAAAGTAGAGCCATTTGCTACTGCCTTGAGTCTTTAGGGCATACATGTGTCAGGCCCATATGCTGCTTATAAATCCTGTGGATGACCTCTTAGCATCCTTGAGCAGTGGTTTCCCTCCCCCATCCCATACACCCTCTCTAAGATACTCAGCACAGCATATGAAAAACTCCACCTGGCTGACAACCAAGAACAATGAAGCAGTATTGTTTTTAGGCACAAAAATAAAACTCAGCCAGTTTCTAGACAAAACAGAACATTGTGTGGAAATTAATTTGGTGCTAAGTTATTTCACTGTCTGACAACAATTTTAGACTTCCAAAAAGGCCCATTCGCTGAAGATTAATTGTAGCTAGGGTAGATGGAGTGCTTGCATGCAGAGTGTTGCTGTAATTGAAAAACATGGGATGTTATGAAAAGAGGCTTCTCTGCACACACTCGCAAATCCCTTTACTTCCCTAGCAGTTATGGACCCGGACGCCTGCACTAACACATGTTCACTCACTGTCCAAACAAACTTCCTGCATTTCACAATACAGCATTGTCGTATTGATGCTAACTTGTAGTCAGAATGTATTGCAGCTATTCTCACCTAAAGCTTAAAGAAGTAGTTTTATTAGAGAAGATATTATCTGGGGGAAACTATTCCCAACCTGAGCAAATGCAGACTTACTGCTTCTAAGAGTCATTAAGCTAGAAAACAGCATGTTTGGTGAAAGGCACATGAATTCGAACTTGTCTTTTGGCAAGTTTGTTTGTAAGTGCTAACAGACAGCAACAGCCTGGCAAGTGCATAAATGCAAGCCCAGAATGTCAACAGGCTTTGTTTAGCTCTAGTGCTCTCGTACTCAGGATGTGTCCATGGCTTTTTTTTGTTTTGTGCAAATAGGTATGCAAAGAAGGAGGAGGATCACACCCAAGGGCTCATAATAAGACGCACCTTTCAGCTGTTTATATTAACAATACAGCTGTAGAATCTTGGCAGCATCTCTGAATAAAATATCAGCCCCTTTTACTATCAGCAAGGGTTTCATCAAAGCTTGAATCAGCAAGTGCTGCTCCAGTAAATTGTCAGTTTAATTGCCTGATTTTAGTAATGAAAATATTTTGTGGCTTCAGGACTTATATTTACTGTTCTGAACTGGAAGTTATATCTAAGTGAGTAAATGATAACCCTCCTGTATGACCTGCTAATAAATACTTAATTACCAAACCTGAAACTATAATGGAAGTAAAAAATACGTCTACTGAGAACAGAAGTCTTGAGGTTCATTTGCTGCAGGTCCTGTTGCTTTGTTATAATCATTGCTTGCACCCGATAACTGTTCAGAAAGGTCTTGAGTCAATGAGTTTGTTTAACACCAAAACAAAACTGTTCTCCATAAATAGTTTTTGAAAACAATGTTATTTGTGTTTGCTTCTGTATCTCAAGCAAAGTTCATTCAGGACATGAATGAATACAGGATGCAGCTCACTCAAATACTATTTGTGGTGAATGCATTTGATTTGTATTACTTGAGAGCTCTTTGAGGATAATCTAAAAAAAAAAATTGTAAAGTGTAGGTTAAAATTTAGCTGAAATATTGTGAATTCCTAATCTTTCTTTTTTATAACTTTACGTGACAAAATACACATTCTACTCTTGGTTCCTGCATTGTGCTCCTTCAAAGGCATCAAAACAGAGGACAGCTTGAGCCATTCCCCAGGACAGAGTGGGTTTCTTAGTTATGGATCCAGTTTCAGTGCCCCAGCTGCTGGACAAGCACCATATACCTACCAGATGCATGGTAAGTACAGCTTGCTGCTTTGTGGGCTGCATCATGAGAGGTCAGAATAACACACTCCTTGTTAGATCAGATCTTCTTTTGCAATTACGATAAAAAGATTATTAATAGACTGATAGGGTAGAGGAGAAAGTAAGATTTTAGAGGCCTGTTGTGCTTATCATGGAATTAATTTCTGGCAAAAGTACTGGATTTAGCACTGAGGCACCCTAGCAAAACTTTGCATATGAGCACTTTAAGCTTTGCCTTTAAGCAGAAACTGTTGTGTTTAATACATTTACCTTTTTTAACTTATAAAGTACCAATACCACTGAACAACAGCTACCAGCTGAAGTAAAATTCTGAAAAGTAGAGCTGAAAGCAGCTGCTTTTTCCCTGAGGTTCCTGAGTAAAGAATTAAAAAGTTTAGAGTAACTGTTTTACTATTGTCAAAATATTATCTGATACATAATAGTGAACTGGATTTCCTTATGTCTTCAGTGACACTGCCTTCTGCTTGGAGCTTTGTAACACTTTGTTTTGTTCCACAACCAAGAAGGTCAAAATATACTTGGTTCCTAAAAGTAAAGCTTATTTTCAGTCATTCAATTTCAGAAGCTGAAATCACCAGATTCTATGACTCTCAGTGTTGATTTGCCAGAGAAGTCACGGAAGAATTTAAAGCTGAAAAAAAGAAAATTGGGAAGTAAATCAAAATATTGGAAGTTCACTTGTGATTCCTTTTAACCCATTTTTTAGCATGGAATTGCATTTCTTTGAGTATTTTAATGTGGCTTGTCAGAAAGAGAGGTTTTGTTTTCTTAAGTGTTATAACATGCTATTTTCTCCATCATGTCTTGTTCCTGATCCTTCACGAATTACGTTTATTTATTTGTTTGTTTATTTATCTTTCTGGAACTTGCTGAGTCATTAAGTGTGAATTGGAGGGGCAGTGTTAAAATCTGTATATACTCTGTTAATCTCAACATAAAAATACCTGTCCAGGAAATTCTTCAGGCAGTGATGACCAACTCTAATGCAGTGATGGCAGATGAGAGGAACCACAGGATAACCATTTCAGCTTTATCAATCGTTTCACACACAAAATGAATGAGTATCTTCAGAGGAAAGAATGTTCTAGAAAGTTAAAAATTGTCCATCTTAGGACTGTTGAGTGGGAAGGGTCAATCACACAGGCTATAACGTGCCCTTTACAGCTGTGGCTAAATGTATGCAGACTCAGCAGTGTGATCTTTCTGACAGGCTGATTCACAAGAAAAAAAACCCACAGAGCTATGATTTTCTGCATCTTGACTTCTACAGACTTCACCCATCCTAGCTCAAATAGGACTTTGGTTTTTGCTTTCTGTTTCACTCCTCAAACGTCTCAGTCTTCTCTTGAGATTGTGTTTCATTGTCAGCAGTGGAAGTCCTCTCTCATTGGTGAAACTGGCTTGCATCACCAGCAATGGTAGATGCTGGAGTTTGATGGCTTGTTGGCTGCTTTGTCAGTGGGCTGAAGTGTTGTGTATGCGCCCACCTTGTGCCTCCTGACTAACCACGGTGTGATTCGGTGCTAATGATTTTTGCACCACTGTTGACTCAGCATTGGCGTTTTCTTTTCCTGCCATGGAAGGTCAGTGTATTCCATCTATGTTTCTATTGCTTTGTGTTTTCCCAGAATGCAGCTCCCACATGTGCTTTGTGTTAGCTTAGAAGAATCTGAGCTATTTGGGAAGGCAAACTCTTGACTCATTTGGGACTGAAGTTTTTAAGATGGCCCCTTTGTTCAATTAAGAGGTTTAGACAAACAAGTTTTGTTTAATCAGCACTTGAAAATGTTACACTTGTAAGGAATACTGACAATCTAGAATGTTGTACCAAAACAGGCCGGAAAAGACTTTATGCAGAGGTGTATGAGCATGAATGTGTCCAAGGTGCTTTCAGGTAATGTTTTCTAAGGTGATGCTACTGTGTTAGAATAAATTTGCTTCTTTTCATTCAGATTTTTATGCTAGACAGATCATTTCAGCCAGCTCACTAAGCTGTCAACACAAAAGGAAAACTGCTTCTGCATGTGGCAGGTGCTTACTCCAAGGCAAAAGGAGCAGAAGTAAATGTATCTTCCTGTTGTAAACAAATATTTCCACTCTTCTTCTTGCTCATGAAGGGAACAGTCTGAAGCTCCCTGACCATGCAGTTTATTTACCCTGTTGAGTGCTGGTGAAAGGTTTGAGTGAGAAGCCGGGAGCCTTCCTGTGCTGAGTGCTACTGAGGAATGTGCACTCTGTGCTTTCCCACGCTGCAGCACCTGGGGGCAGGGAGGCAGTTCTTCCATCTTAATCCAATCGAGTAACTCTCCGTGCCACCCAAGCTCCAGGACTATTGGGACTTCTGTCAGGTTCACATCAGTCTTGTTGTCCACCCCATTAGTGACCCCAGGCAGGGACTTTGGCTGATGAGATTAAATAGCTGAAGGTGCAAATTTGTATTTAAATACTTTTATGAAATCAAATTTCAGGAGGACTTTAAGAGTTGAGCTCTTAACCCTCACTTCAAGGATAAAATAATTATTACACAAAATAGAGATCTTGAAAAGTCTGACAAGCGCAATGGGTCAACAAGGAAGGACATCGCCATGAATTTCTGCTGCTTAGTTTTGCATTTTAGTGTGAGAGAAAAAAACGTTTTTTTCGAGCTAGCTCTGTGAGCACTGTAAGTTTGTAATACCTCAAGTACTTAACCAAAATAACTTTGGACTACTGTTGGCTTCTCTTGAACATCAGCTCCCAAAGCAGCATAGTGAAGTTGACTGCAGGCAGGCGTGGGTGGTCAGGCCATGAGTCTGGAGCAGCTTGTGCAGACTGTGCAAATCCTCACAGTCCCCTAGCTTATGAATTACATGGCCAGGAAATACGTGTGTTATGGCAATCACCAAGGAATAATGACCTTTTGGATGACAAATATTTTGTCTCATAAGGCTCTAGGACAAATGTTCTCCTTCAGTACATGCCCAGGTAGTTGGAGCTGTTCGGTTTGCTCTCACATTTCTTTGGAACCAACACAAGCTCTGGCTGGGATATAAGTGTTAGGTTGAAGCCTCACCTCCCTGATGGCTCTTTTGGCACTTCTGAAGCCAGATTTCCTCAAGTCTGTTGATTTTCTCCACCAACACAGATATTGCAGATGCAGTGGGGTAGTGTTCAGCTTTTCATTTTTAACTGCAGTTACCAACCGTATTCTGGATCTTGAGCAAGAACAGAATCCACTGAAAAGCAATAAGGAGGATAAAACATTCTTTCAGTTACTAAGTGGTAAAGAAAAAAAAAGCAAAACTATTTTACAGACAGCCAGAAGGGGAAATCTATTTTCATGCTTTCCTAGCATGAAAATAAATTAAATGTGGAAGGGCTTATAAGCCAAATAGCTAATGCAGTATGTCACACACATATATAATACAAAAAATGAGGTTGGCAAGTTCTATATCTGCCAGAAAAGACATGAAACTATAACACAAAGGTACTATAGATTGAAATAATGATTTTAATTTCCATGTAACACAGTGGATATGATAGTATTTTGGCAAACTGAGTAACATTCAAATAGACTGAAATGTAGTATTACTTATTCTGAAGGACTGACTTTATTCTCTTGTTTTTAATCAGTGCTGAATGCAGTGTTGACTCAGGTCATTACTGTATTTACAAAATTAATTTGTTGTAAGGAAGATATTTGATACATGCATGTGACCAGTTCAGGGGGGCAACTCATTTTTAGAGCTGTGAATGGGAAGAGAAGGTAACAGCTTGCATTACTTTTCTGTCTTTGGTGCAAAAAAAATGTAATACTCTGGGTTAAAAAAAAAGCTGCTTCAGGTCTGTGCTGTTTCCTAACGGATCCTTATACAAGTATGCAACTGCAGTACTGACTCCCCAGAGAACACCATAGTCTACATATCAGAAATATATTTGCTTCTTAACATATATATTTTTCAACATTCACATGTTCTTGCAATTTAGCAGATTAGTGAGCTGTTCAGAGTTTTGGTAAAATTATTATTCAGTCATAAAAATAGCATATGAGACACGAAGGTTGTATTCGACCTCTGCCCCATGGAGCTTACCATTTAAACTGGCAATTGAGGAAACTGCTTCTTGCTGTGGAAGGCTCTTCAGAAGCTAATGAAGCCACCCTGTTTTCTGGCTTCTCTGCAAGACTTGAGTTGCAGCAGGGCAAGCAATTACACTTGAATTCTGCCAAGCATAGTCATACCCAAATGATTCCGTTCCTCAAAGAAGAATCGGGTTGTCTTCCAATCTGAGAGATTTCAGATTGAGTCTCTGATGTGCTTCTCTTTGTCTGCAATACCACGCCTATTAGAGTTCATTAAGATCAGTAAAACCATCTACATTTCATGATAATTAGTAATTATAAAATTTTTCATCCATCCAAGTAGGCAGTCAGAGCATTAAATGAATGTTTTAATTAAAATATGTCGATTTGGGAGGGAAAGGCTTGTTGTTTTCTTTTGGAGTGTTCTTGTTGTTTCTTTTAAACCTCAGAGATCTTGTTTATCTATTCACACTCCAGACATCAGATCGTATTTTGCTGTGCATTTTACATATTACCTAGTTTTGCAACACTCCTTCTATTTTGCTTGGTTACTGGACGTGTTTCTTGATACTGCAAACAGTTGCTTTGGATTTGTGCAGGCAGTAGATGCTACATCCATTCTTGCTGGTAATTAGCATCATCCCTCATCCCTCTCCTTGCTGTTTCTCTTCTGATGTGTTGATCTTCCTTGGATCTGTCCCTTGGATTGTGAATGAAGAGAAAACTAAAGTTATAGTCCTGCGAATGTTAGCACTGATGACCTTCTGTTCACTTGGAAAAATACTTTGGACTCCACATTAGTGTAACACAATGGATTTTGATCCTGTGTAGGAGCAAATGCACTGTCAAATGTATAAGGAAATCTGTGGAATGTAATAAACATCATTTAATCAGCTATGTGAAATACTAAG